TACCGGTAGGCAATGGTCTGGCCTCAATGCTGCGAGGCCAGGCCAGACCCTGGACCGTCCAGATGGACGGTTCAGCCTCAATCGGCGGGCGGCAGCTTCAAGAGCGCCGCCMGGCCCAAACGAAGTGTCGTTTGGGCCTACCCGATGGGTGACAGTCCAAGATCAGGCCTTTAGGGGCTGTAACCCCAAAGGTCGGGCCTTTAGGCCCTGGTGTGTCCCTCCGGCCCTAAGTCGGGTCCGGTAGGACCCGTGTGAATCGAAGATGTAACACCACAGGAAGTGTTGGCTGAACTAGTGGCAGGCCATAAGCAGATTTTGGCTGCACTGTAGGCTCCTCGTCCTATGATGAGGCAGCCTCAGTATGCTTTAGCTCCCCCATCGGCTGCGGGTCCATCGGTGACGCCGTCGTCGACTGGGCCCTCTTTCTCACCTATGTTTGGTATGCCCCCTCGAGGTGGTTATGTAGCGACCAGTGGTCCGGTCCATAGAGTGTCGGCCGTACCATCCACGACAGTGGTTACTACAGTCCCACTGTCAAGCCAGGCCCAGGTTAGTGTGCAGCAACCTGTTTCGGTGGCTACGCAGCCACTGCAGCAAGCCCGTGGGCGAATGCAGCCTATGCAGTGGATGCCCAAAATACCCTTGCTGAGTCCTAAGCCCTTCTCAGGCGACAGGAAGAAGGATGAGGATTTAGACACCTGGGTAAGGACGGTGCCTACCTATGTGAGGCACAAGCTTACCAGGCGGGAGCAAGAAGTTGTAGTGGCTGCCTCCTTTCTAGAGGGGTCAGCAGCCCGCTGGTTGAATGGCCTAGTGCAGCAGTAGGGCTACGGTCAGAACTTCGATGCCTGGGCCCAGGCCCAGACATTGGAAGAGTTCGTACAGGTCGTGTACAACAGGTGGCATGACCCTCAAGGGGCTCAAAAGGCCACCAATGCAATCAACAGTCTCTGTGCCAGAAGGTACAAGAATGTTCGTTTGTTAACGGACACCGTAGAACGTCTGCTCGTAGTACCTAGTGTGCGGTATGATCAGCAGGTACTCCTTATGGATTACCTTATATGTCTACCTTCAGAGGTTAGGACAAAGCTGGTAGACGAGGCCTACGTCGAACAACACAACTTCGCTTCATTCAGCAAGAAGGGCTTGGACATAGAGGCGAAACTGGGATCTGCGCATCAAAGTCAGGAAGAAGAGACTTCCCCAAGACTGGAAGAAGGGTCGGTTAGTGTTCGTTGACCACGATGGTCAAACGACGGAGATTGACGAGTTCCCAGATCTAGGGGATGAGACAAAGCATGATGGGGCCAGCGAGACTTCGGATGGGGGAGTCGTGGCACCCATCAAGGAAAAGGCTAGGGGGACCGGGAAGAAGAAGGTAGGCCGGTCTACGGGTCAGGGCGACCAAGGTACGCCCGCATGGGTGAAACTTGGTTTAGAGTATGAGGTGTGGAGGGATCGAGTTGCTAGGCGTACGTGCATGAACTGTGGCAACTATGGCCACACGTCCCGAACGTGCCGAGGCAAGAAAGTTCTAACGAGGGTAGCCTCGCCAACGGTGGTGGGACTATCTTCGAACTCTGGCGGTGCTTCTGCGAGCACTTCGCAGGGAAACACCTCGGGCCAGTAGGAGTTTTAGCCGCTCTTACTCGCGCTGAAGTGGTAACGTTGCCTTCCCCACTTCAGGCGTTGGCCAAGGCTAGCGACCCACGTATCGCCCCGCAGACACATTTAGACCCACCGACGCTCTGTTCGAGAGATGTGTCTGAGTCCCTAGAAGAGTTAGAGACTGAGTGGTCAGGGAAGGACCCCAAAGACTCTTGGGCGATGATTAGTAGATGTCCAAAGGGTGAACATTTCGTGGTAGAGGTTGATGTAGGTGGCCGCAAAGTTGGCGCCTTTGCAGACATAGGCTCTACACGAAACTTCATGAGTCGTGCTTGTGTGGATAGACTGCGCTTAGGGGACCAAGTGCAGCGGCTTAGCAGAACTGTAGCTTCTACGCTAGCCAACAAGCACCAAATGGTAGTTAAAGACTATGTCAAGGACATAGTCTGTTCCTTCTCTTATGGAGGAGGGGAAGTGAGACACAGAATCTCATTCCTCGTTATCGACGAACCGCCCTTCAACATGTTGGGTATGTACTACCTCGAGGTTGCTCAGCCTCAGTTTGATTGGGATAGGAAGGTGTTGATACACAAGTTGCCAAATGGTAGGACCGTTAGGCTGCANGAAGGTGTTGATACACAAGTTGCCAAATGGTAGGACCGTTAGGCTGCAGAAGTATAAGGCTAGCAGTCTAGTGGAGAACTACGGCTGCATGTGTGCTTCCTCTTTCTATAACTACTACAAGCAGAATCGCGAGGAGGGCATGTATCTAGTCTTTGTCTTTGAGAAAGGGGAGGCTGTAAAAACACCCCCAGAGATAGAATCAGTCGTCGCGCAATATTCCGACCTTTTTTAGGAGCCCACAGGCATGGTAGAAAGGGAGGTGGTCCATGCAATAGCAGTTGTCCCAGGTAGCAAGGTGCCTAGAGGACGAATCTATAGGATGTCTCTTGCGGAGTTGGATGAGCTCCGCCGCCAGCTCAAGGAGCTCACATAAAAGGGATGGATTTGGCCTAGTACCTCCCCTTAAGGTGCGCCAGTTCTATTTGTCCCAAAGAAGGGAGGTACCCTGAGGATGTGCATTGACTCTAGGGGCCTCAATGTCATCACCGTTAAGAACGCGGAGCCCCTACCCCGCATCGACGACCTCTTGGATAGACTGCAGGGATGCCGGTACTTCACCAAGATAGATCTGAAGTCCGGATACCATCAAATTGCCAGTAGACCTGAGGACCAGCACAAAACCGCATTTTAGACCAGGTACAGTCTGTACGAGTTTGTGGTGTTGCCCTTTGGCCTATGCAATGCACCTGGTACGTTCCAGCACGCGATGAACAAGATATTTCATGAGTACTTACCAAGCAGAGAGCACAATGCACCAAGATACCATCCAAATTGCAAAATCTCGCTGTAGTCCAGATAGTCATGTACCCAAATGTCAATGTCAATGCTCTCTGGTCACACCAACATAGTATCCAAGGTCGCTCTTCCAGATTTGCGCTCAGGGCCCAGCCTACACTACTCAGCCTATCTAGCCTATCTATGTTCATGCAACAGGAGTCACTTCGTTACTGAAGACCAATGCACATGACGATGTCGCCGATGCAGACTGCCAGCGTACACCAGGTACGTCTCTGTCTCCTCCCCTCATCACTCCCTGTCTCCCCTCAGCAATGCTCCTCCTACCCGAAGACCACCATGACCATCACCCGCATGCGCCCAGCAGCCCGGCTATGGCTGCCGAGCGCCCGCTGCCAACGCAGTGCCCCACTCAAACCTCTTGCCCCCGCGTGCGCCCTGCGCTCTGCTAACGCCCAGGCAGCCTTCCAGCGCTACAATGCAGCAGCGTGGCCGGCCACACTCGCAGAGCCAGAATGAAGTGCAGCCCTGCATCTGGCTGCTTGGGCCTGGCGTGCGTGTGCCCAGTAGCTTCAAGTTGGCCCAAAGTGTCTGTGCCCAGGCCCTTTCAGACAGTTGCCTGGGCCCGCAGCTTCGAGGTGCGCCCAACCACCCCACGCGACTTGTGAAGTGTTTCCTGCTTTCTGATAGGCCGAGAGGGCTGCTTCCAAGTCGAAGCTTCCTTGAAGATTGATTCTCACGAGCAGGGCATCTGCAACCAACTGGCGCGTGGCAACTGTCTGGCGCCCACAATTCGGAAAAAGGCGTATTTGGGCTCCATATCAAATTCAGGCCCGCCTTCACTTAGGGTGGGCACGGTGCTTGCTTGTTGATTGGGGGGGAGGGGGGGTTGGGCATTTCCGAGGCCGCGGCCTAGTGGCCATTTGTGAGGGCAAAGTCCTCGCAATTGAACTTGATTCAATGTTGGATCAATTTTCTCACTTCTGTTTTCCTCATGACATTGCTTGTCAATTCTGCTTTTTGTCCTTCCAGATACGGTATGATTGACCAGATGCAGCAGCTCTTGTATGCCTCGGCAGCGACAGCGCAGCCTCAGCTCACTCCTCAGGTACACCTTCCAGATGCACAGGACTGTACCTATGTTTTCCTTTTTTGGGGTATCCAATCGTTCATGCCCAAGCCCAAGCCCAACAAAAGCTCACATGGGGATCCTGGAAGGTCATGCACTCGGAACTTTGTAAGTACAGTAGAATCGTGTTGTCGAGAATCGGACAGCCTTGCAGATCTCAGCTCTCTCTCTCTCTCTCTCTCTCTCTCTCTCTCTCTCTCTCTCTCTCTCTCTCTCTCTCTCTCTCCACCCACACACAAAAAAGGGGTGAAGCCGGAACCTACCCTTGCAGAAGAATCACTCTAAAACCCCAATTCCTTACCTTTCTGTCATCTTTTGATGAATATAAAGTATTTTCCTCCAAAGGCGGTTATCCTGTCCCACTGTCAGCAAACCAAGTCAGCCAATTCGTGTGTACAAGCCCTTCACCAAATCTCATCTCAGTTAGTAGAACCCACAAACATGCGGGTATAGAAGGAATCAGAATTTCTGTCGAATTTTCTGAACGATAAAATGGATGCTTCTCAGCACGCAGATATCACACAAATGAAAGCCAAACTTAGTAAAACGCAACACAACAGAGGGCAAAGTTAGACTGAATGTACCATTGCCATTGCATACCTCATCCATCCTTGTGGACCTACTACTATCCTCACCCGAATAGAACATGCAGTCATAATATTCGTATTTGGGGCAACTTTCAGTCTTTATATGGCGATAATGACTGTTCATTCTATGGTTGAAGACATGAGTTTCCATCAGCATGTGCTCTTTCCTTGTCCATCTATTATCATCTACGTAGTACATATATTATCTGATAGAGATAGTAATCATAGTATATGTTTTTACTACTTTCTGACAGAGATAATATGTGTAGATAATAGTATGTACAAGGACAACATAAGTCGATTTCTGTTTCTCTTTGAGACTGCTCAGCCGGAGGTAGTAGTCTGTTTTTTCATGAATCAACAGAGATGTCTAGCCCTTCTTCTTTCCGTCAGAGGTTATTCCAATACTCATGGATCTGTCGTAACTTCTCCTAATCCATCCCCTCTCCTCTCTCGTACACTTGTCACTCTGTTTCTTGTTTGTTTTGTTTTCCCAGGTTTTGCAGGATGCTTTCGCTGAGCTTGAAACTGCAAACACAGACCTCTCGACTGCCATTGAAACCATCACGAAGGAGCACCGAGAGAAGGCAGAGGTACATTTTTTTCCCTTTGCATGGCAAACATTTAACGTTTGAAATTTCAACAAGTTTTGGAGGAATCTTTCGAGTCTTTAAAGTTCAAACCACCCCAGTACCTCTACCAATTCTCAATAGCGACGTGGCAGTTTTGCATGCTTGGTGCAATCGGAAATGCATGGTTCTGGGCCATAAAAAAAAAAAAAAAAAAAAAAAAAGATATGTGTAAGGATTTTTGTCCTGGGCAGGCTCTTAAGGGGGGCCCGCTGCAAGCAACACGCCCGCCCTAAGTGAAGGCGGGCCTGCATTTCTCCAGGAGGCCTAATGTCAAGGGCCTTTGGGGGCGCCAGACAGTTACTGGGCTGCCAGTTGGTTGAAGGGCCCTGCATGCTATGCAACTGTGGAAGCGCGAGCCTTCTAGGCTCTTCCAGGTCCGACGTGGAATAAGGCCTTCTGGCCTATCAGGATGCAGTGAGTGACACAGCCCACATTGTACAGTTGGGCGCGGCTAACTGTTTCGGTACCAGGCCGCTACCTGAATCGGACCTGGGTGCACACACTTTCACCCAACGTGAAGCTACTGGGCACACGGACACCAGGCCCAGGCTGCCAGTACAGGCCAGCACTTTCCATATAGGAAACTGCCCGCCTGCCTCTCACACATTTGGGCACTTGGAGCATTGCAGCAGCACTGCCAGTTTCAGCGCTTGTGGCCGCTCTGGACGAGAGCCTGAGGTGCATGCCGGCGCAGGTGGAGGTGGTGGGCGCTGCTAGAGGCAGCACCAGATCCCAGCCATAGCCTTGCTTGGGGTCAGAGATCAGTGGGGTATGGTGGTGATCTTTGGGTGGAGGACAGTGTGTAGGAAGAAGACGAGGGTGAGCAGAGAGGGGGCTAGAGAGAGGGCACGTACCTGGTTCGTCGTGGAGGTCTGCATAGGCGGCATCTGCACGTACTCTGGTTTCTGCTGCTGAGGTCTTCCTTGTTGTGTAGAGTAGGCTAGTGTAGGGCTGTGTGATTGTAGTCTGGGCCCCAAGCGCCAAGTAGGGAGAAGAAACATTGGACACATTGTTGATGGTGGCAAAGTAAGGGCTGACATTGACAATCAATTTGGCTGCTGGAATCTATGCTTTGGTTTGATATTAGTGCTGCTTTCTGGACATCTAATGACTATCTGGCTTTCAATGTGATATTGCGATTCAAAATTCTGTCATTTCGCTCTTGCTCATCCTTGCACTTGTAATTTTTGTGAAAATACACCGGCCTTGTTTGTTTCTTTTCGAGCCCTTGAAAGAAGTTTTTTTTTTTTTTGTAAATTTTTAATTTTGAAGTTTTTGTTTGCCAAACATTTTCATGGACCATGTCATTTTTTCCTCTCTGAAAAGAGCACTGAAGTTTTGTATGACACTTAACTAATGACACCACTCTGAGGTGTATTGCTTCCAAGCTCTCATTGGTGCCTCGAGGGTGCTGCCAATCAAAAAGGGGGAAAACTACCATATTAAGCTATTACGAGTGATGAGAATGGCTTCCCCTCCCTCCTCCGCCACCCCYGCCCCCCCCCCCCACCACGATCCATTCCCAGTCCATCTCTGGTCCTGAACCAGCAGCAGAGGCGAGAGGTCAATTTGGGACCCCACCAGCAGCAGAGGCCAAATGAAACTGGAAGAGAAAAAGAAAAAACTTAAAAAAACTGAGTGTCATGTGTCAGTTGACTCAGTTGCCAATTTGGCCTCGTTTGATCCCACCATGCCAAGTCGGTCAGTAAGTCCTTGTCACCTTCTGAGGGGGGGGGAGCAAAGAAGGAAAAAGATAACAATGAGAAGTGGAAAGTTGGTTGGCCAGTTTTTTAATGTTCCACTCTGCCCCAGTGTTTGAATGGCGTCAATAGAACGGATGTGTTTGAGCGTGCGGACATTTTCATTCATATCCTTCTAAGCTCCAATCCAAATGGCTGAAATCGCGAGATCGCTCACTCTGGGAATCGAACCTGCAACCTGCTGTACTCAAAGCAGGACACATACCACTAAGGCAAAAGTGAGACCGCTCCAGCCTGGTTAGTACCACGAACCCGGTGTACTCAGACTCATGTCCAGCCAAAAGGCCCCTTGAGCTAAGCCCAAGCGGTTTGCATGCCGAGCATTTTCTGAAGATGTGGTAAGGACTTTTTGTGGCACTGATCACCAGCAAAAATGTGGAAGTACATCATTCGTCGTCAGAAGCACTCCATGCTGGCCATTCTCGCTACAAATCACAAGTAAATAGCACCATCCTGCCAAAAATTTTGCCATCTCACTGTACATGTCAGTGCATTGAGCCTCACTGCTCGACACCACGAGTGCATACACGCACACATTGAGAGATCACACGAAGTCCACACTGGAGTCCAGATATGCGCAGCTTAGAAATTCCAACAAATTATCACATTAACAGTTTCGGAGATCCAGTCACCAAGCGCTCAACAGTGCAGAATACAGCAACCCGATACCAGCATTGAAATCAGACTTGTCTCAATCTCGCTTACAACATGCATACATATATGTTCCGATGGGAAACCAACTTCGTCAACTCAGAATCAGCAATGAACTTGCACTGGCGGCGACATGCGCCCACACAGAAAACTCTGAGATATGGCCTCTGGCTAGAAGCTCATCTCAAGTCAACTGTTACAACTTGCAGCTATGGCCGCTGAACACTGTCTGAAGTCCCGACCGATTACTGTCTACACCATCAGCCTCACACTCACTCACGTACACACTGACGAAGATCCACCCTGAATGTCCACACCTCACACACACACACACTGTAGACTCTGTTGACGTCAGCAGCTAAGCGGCTATGGCCGCCTTCGTCTTCCTCCTCTCAGCTATGGCTGCCTTCATCCTCCTCAGCTCACGTCAGCTTCGGGCACCTGCAGACCTCCTCCTGCACAAGTCGCTCCAGCAGCGCTTCCGCATGGCTCACAGGCGAACGAATGAATGGATGTACGCTGCCTCTTTATTTATACTGTGTCGCAGTGGTCTGGTCTGCCCCAGCCCTGGGCCAAAACGTGTGGGCCTGGAAGGCCCAAACCACATGGGCCTAGGGATTGGCCAAAACGCGTGGCCCAACAGGGGCCAAAACGCGTGGGACTCCCCTGGTACTTGCTGACTGGACGGGGTGGACTGGTCACCTTGCTGACTCAGACACGGTGGACTGTGCCTACGACTCTCTAGAACCTACAGACCAACCCTTCGCTAAAAACTAGGACTAGCTACTGACGGACCCTTGCACTAACGAAGAGCCAGCTAGAGAGTTCCAGAAGGACCCTGACTAAGACTAACGGTTACGTACTAAACTCCTAATACGAAGGTCTACGGAACAAGACCTAACGACTGACTGGCACACGGACTAACTAACCTAGGGGATTTAGGGACAGGTTGTGTGTTCAAATCTGACATAGCGTCACAAGGTCAATGTACAGGGTTACGGGATAGGTCTAGGGATGGAGTCCTAATGTCTCCATTTGTCGGGTAAAGTGGGTGAAACCATTTCACTCCCGCCGTCCTAAATTTGAGGTCGTCCCAGAACTCTCTAACACAAGACAGGACCTTTACCTTTCCTTACCTTCTCGTAGGCATGTACTATATCGGGAACGGTTTCTAGAAGCTTGACCCGTGTGAACCATCTGTCATCCTCGGGTTCCGGATAGGCAAACCGGACCTTATATTGTTTCTGGGGACGATCCCGACCTCCAGTTTTGAAAATGTCTTCTTCCACTATGCGTCGATATCATATGCACCATCCATGTCTGGTGGAATCATAGATCTCGGTGAGGGAAACTGCTCACTGGTGGTACATGGCAACAACTTGGACGCATGGAAGATTTGATATGTATGGAGGTGCAGTGGTATATTGTGTATGACGATCCGTCCTCTCCTCCTCTAACTTCTAAGACAGGCCACGGTCCCCTATATGTCAGTAAAATCTTATGGGAGATGTTCTCCTTAAGTGTGAATTCCTCAGACTTGCCCCAGACTCGGTCGCCTACTTGAAACTGCGAAGGTTGGTGATGCTTGTTTGCTTGTTCAATCATGCGAAGCTGGGCTTTCCTAAGGTTTTCAACAACTCGAGCAACCTCCTTCTTGTGTTGCAAAGCGAACTCCCTTGTGCCGGGGGCTAACCTCTAAATCTGATCCCGGTTCAGTCCTTCAAAAGGTCTGCGTGGTCTAAAGGACTTGTGTAGCTCATTAGGAGTTCGACAAGTAACTAGGTGCACAGGGTTGTCATACGGGCTAGCTACTTTTGGGAGCATCTCACCCCAGTTCACTTGATCTGGTCTAATATACATTCTAAGTAATTGCTGCAAGACCTTATTCATTTGCTTTGTCTGACCGTTCTTCTTCGGATGACGGCCTGACGACATCAACAACTTAGAGTCGTATACTTTCATAAGATCGTGCCAGTTATGGCTAGTAAACCGCGTGTCTCTATCGCTAACTATGGACAGCGGTATGCCGTGTTCGTTTACCCATAAATCAAAGAACTTTTCTATCACTAAGTTTGTGTGTGCCTCTGAAGGTGTGCACTTACTAAATTGATCTACTATGACCATGGCTTGGCTCTTACCATGCCTGCTCCTGACTCCAGTGTCCATAAAGTCGATGGAGACTGACTCTCCGGGTTCTGATGGGATAGGCAAGGGTCTGAGAAGGCCTAGCGGTGCTCGCGTTGTTGTCTTATTGTGCCGACAGACTTTGCAGCTGCGTACATCTCTATGCAGTCCGCCTTCATGCCGTGCCATGCATACGACATCATAAGGTTGGCCAAAGTTTTCTGCCAACCAAAGTGCCCTTCTATATCATGGCATTCCCCTAAGATCAAGCTACGAATCTCCTCGTTATTGGGGACGCACAGTCTATCAATTATATTGGTCTTCTCAAACAGTAGCCCGTTCGTGAGTAGAAAATGTATAATTGTGTGGTGAACCAAAAATGATTTTGCCTAAACAAATAAAAAGGATATGCAAAAATAAACTAAT